CGTCCAACGAGTTGGTGTTTTTTCAATGTATGCTTCAGACACGGGTCACGACGAGACGTTCCCCATAGCGACCCCTAGAGGACGCAGTTCGAAGTTCCCATGAAAGGGAACTATAGCGGACATATATTTAATATTCTATATATATTTTATATAATATAGTATTATGTAAATTTTGCAGGTTGACAATATAGCATTTATACAAAGTTATTTTCTAGGTACTGAGAGGTCTATCTCAGTGATTTGCACACACAGTGGGGATGTTGCCTAGACTAGAGCACAGGCTGCATGGCAAGGTTATATGATTTAGTTTCAGATATAAACCCTCCTTATTCTCACTCGCAATCACAAACACAAATGCACACAAATAATGCAATGGAGAAGGCATGGCATATGTACAGGTATAGGTGTAGGTGTAAAACTGAGCTTTATTCACTTACACATGCACACGCAATCACATAGAAACAGCAAATAGAGATTATGTAATCCAATTTCACATGTCATCAGTTTCTTCAAACATTAATGTCTCCCTCTGTCTCTGTCTGTCTTCCCTGTCATGATAGGCTGTCCTGGGCTGCGCTGATTAAGATCTATTACATGACAGAGAATCACAACATGGCTTCTCAATTTGTAAGATACTGATTCCCTACAGCACTAGGCAACATGAAAACCTTGACCCATCTGTACCCCACCAGAATGATTAAACATTAACCATTAATCTCCTCATCAAAGCAACTAATTACTTTTCTTGTGTGCTGCATTGGTTCAATGCTAATCACATCAGAGGTGAGCATGTGCATCTATAGGGTTGGATTACAGTAAAGCTGCTGTTACTTCTGGGGAGCCGCTAATTGTGTGTGCATGTGTTTGGCATCAATAACCAAGGAAGTCTGTTTGAAAGAAATATATTTACTCATGTTGTTCCAAACTTTGATTTTGTCATTCTCCATGAATACAAAAGGAGAAATTTCACATTTATTTTTATCACAGAACAACAGCTCAAAGGAAACAAAAGTCATTCATACATCTATGTTCCAAGTCTTCTGAAGCCATATGTATATTGTGGCATAGACAGATTACAATTGAACAGGTTTAATAGCAGATAAAATTCAACGTAAAATTATTTAAGATATAATTATGTTACCAAGTAATGTGTTTATTATGGGCAAAATAGTATAAAATGAAGCTCACCAAGTGTGCAGTACACTGAATGTTTTTTTCCACTTCAAATTATTGCATGAGAAAATAAACAGCTCCATATTTAAATGTTTTAATAACATTTTATAATGTTTTATACAGCAGTTCTTTCTGGTCCTCGAATCTGATTGGCTGATAGGAGTGCAATATTCTAGTGATAACAGAACTCCAACCGTTTGTATCACTCCGCTTGCGATATTTCTCACAGTGTGCGTCATGGTGGACCCCATAATTTAATACTATTTTTGACACAGAATGTAGTTTTAAAAGTTTTTAATGGCAATAATATATTTTACGTTTAGACTTCAAATATGTGGTTTGTTAATAAAGATAAGGACTATTTGAAAATTTGCTCAAGGGCATCAGGGTGTTTTTACCTTCACCAACAGCTTGTAATAAATTCATAAAAGCCAATAAATGCACTGAGCAGCGCTGTCATCGGAAATCACCCTTAACAGATGAAAGGACAAAGATATCACTTTCCTCAGCGAACATTCAAACGAATGTTTTATTGTGAATATGAGATATATATTATTTTTTTTCTTCTCAGAAATCTTTGATAAATATAACAGCAAAAGAACAGCATGTACTGTATGTGAAATGGAAATATTTTAAAACAGTATGTCTTTACTGCCACTTTTAAATACTTGCTGAATAAAAATATACATTTCTCTACAGCCATAATTTAAGTTGTTATTCAATTATAAGTTTTCCATCCATTGAGATGTTAATTTGACATATGGATAATTGAGTCAAGTTCAACTTGAACTTGAGAATTGTTGAACCGATCCACTTCATCAGTTCAACTCACTATTCTTGAATTGATAGCTCACCTTTGGAGAAGATTACCGCAAACTTGATTTTTTTTCCATTTATTTATTTTTGTGATAGATGTGGTTACTATGTAATTAGATAAAAAGCAATATTCAGATAAAAAAAAATAGCAGTGTGTAGGACTGGAGGGCGAGTTAACAAAGATAACATTTTCATTTTTGAGTAAACTGTCCCTCTAAGACACGTCTTGTCAGGTGTATTTGTTTAAGCTCCCTTCATTCACAGAATGGCCACGTTAGGTTCACATATAGAAATGATCATGAGAGGGTGTTTCTGTATTTGTATGTGCCCTCAGTTTGTGAGTATTTGTTTTTATAGCTGGAGTCATGCTGAGTGACTAAGCGTAATGATTGTAGGTCCCTGTGGTGAGCGGTCTGTCCTGCCATTTTGTGATAAGTAAGCCAGATCCCCAGATGCACACTCACTCTTTCTCCTCTCTCTTTCCTCTCTCTCTCTCTCTGAGGGGATCTACTGAAGAGAAGCTAACTGCTTCATGCATGCTCTCCTGATGCTGGCTAGCTTAAACAGGCCTGAAACAAAACTCAGGGGATACGCAGTCACACAAGAAACATGCACACACAGACTCTGTTTTTGGTTCACCTTACTAAGCTTTCTGTCGGTATTTGATGCTAAACTTCAAATACCCGGTGCAGTATGCGTCATGTGGTACAGAAATCTCTGCATGATGGCACTCTTTTAAAACCGAATTAAGCAAAACGTGGTGTCATGATGCTATCAGAATGACCCCATAGAGGGTCTAACCTCCAGAGGGATTGTAATTCCCAGAGTGCTCTGTGATCACATGGAAAGCCAGATGGTACAGAATAGATATTAAATAAGACATTTAATGAAGAATCTAACCAACAATGACAGTAAGCTAGCATGCCTTGAAAAAAAGGGGGTGAGAAATTGTATTTTATGCTGAAAATTATTATTTTTATAGTCTTACACTAACATGGAAGTAACAAAAAATACCATTGCGCTATGTTTTTTTTTTAGATATATTGTACCATGGTACTAGTATAGGGCTGTGAAAAACAGACCAAAACTCTGTATTATAAATATTAAAATATACCAATATCTGTATTTTTAGACTGAAAGTTGACACACAATGTATATCTATTTCATACAATTTAGGCTAAATGTTTAATTTTCTTTCCATAAGGCCCACAACAATAGAATGAACCTTGCAACACACTTCGGGGCAGAATACCTTTCAGGAGTGCTTTTGAATGCAACCTGTTTAAGGAATAATATATATATATATTTTTACATTTTCTGTGTTTTATTTAAAGTCCCGCTCCTGCCACTCATTTAATCTCTTAAAACGCATCTTTAAACTACTATGTCTAGGACTTCTTTGACTGATGAATTTGCATGTGGTTTGTCCTTAAGCATATTAAAAACACCATATAGATATGTAAACAACGTTAAAAACATGAATTTCATAATGCAGGTCTTTAGGGAAATGTAATTCTACATCTTGCCACAATTTTGCCCTCCAAACAATGTGTTTGGTCTCTGTAGAATGTGCAGTTTTACTGTTTTCCACTTGAGGATGATGAAGTCATTTCGTCTTTACACCCTGTAATCACGTCTGCATCAGCCTGTTGGATTCTTAATGCTGATTGGCTTTCTCACCTTTGTGCTCCTTTACCTCCTCACCGTCTGATTGGCCTGTGTTGTTTTGTTGTGTTCCTTTGACGATTAGCTGATGAGGGTCAGGGTGAATGAGGTTTTTGTTCATCATGGACATGCAACTGAGGACACACATACACAAACACATTTTTGCACTTGTGAGAGGTAATTTGTTCGAGGTTATAGTTATGTATGTGTATTGTATTGAACTGTGAGTGTGTGTGTCTGTGAGGCTGATAATGTAAACTACCATCAAAAGTGATCCTGAACACAAAAGATTTTGGTGACACTTTAGTTTAGGGACCAATTTTCATGATAAACTAGTTGCTTATTGGCATGCCTATTATTAACATATTGGCTGTTTATGGTGGACCCCATAATTTAATACTATTTTTGACACAGAATGTAGTTTTAAAAGTTTTTAATGGCAATAATATATTTTACGTTTAGACTTCAAATATGTGGTTTGTTAATAAAGATAAGGACTATTTGAAAATTTGCTCAAGGGCATCAGGGTGTTTTTACCTTCACCAACAGCTTGTAATAAATTCATAAAAGCCAATAAATGCACTGAGCAGCGCTGTCATCGGAAATCACCCTTAACAGATGAAAGGACAAAGATATCACTTTCCTCAGCGAACATTCAAACGAATGTTTTATTGTGAATATGAGATTGAGCTGAAGAATGAATGCTGTATCAGATGCAAGTAAACACACTTGATCAGTCCAACTTTCTCTCATAATACTCTTCACAATATACAGCTTTTAATACAGTAGTGCGATAAGCTTTTAATGTAGCAACTCAACGTTCCTTCATTACTAGTATTAGTAACGGAGGCTTGGGCTCAGCTGTTAAACTGTCAACTTCAGATTTGAATCTGTGGTGGAAGTAAGTAGTTCGCACAAAAGAGGGCTTTTAAAGACACTCCGTTGTTATTTCTTATTTGTAATTTACACACTCGTGCCATCGAACTGTTGCATAAACGCAATATCACACTAGTAGCCATGCGTTATGGCTGTATATCGGCACGTTGTGATTACCTATGGCAGACAGGCTGCGGCCTCGTGCCTATGGCCGAATATCACACTGCTACTCATGTGATATTGCTCATTAATCACATTCTATAATGATGAATTCACATATAGTGAGTGTGTGTGTCTGTGAGGCTGATAATGTAAACTACCATCAAAAGTGATCCTGAACACAAAAGATTTTGGTGACACTTTAGTTTAGGGACCAATTTTCATGATAAACTAGTTGCTTATTGGCATGCCTATTATTAACATATTGGCTGTTTATTAGTACTTATAAAGCACATATTCGGCATGACCATGTTCTAAATCCCTAATCCTACCCAAATCATAAACAACTACCTTACTAACTATTAATAAGCAGCAAATTAGGAGTTTACTGAGGAGTAAGTCTTAGTTAATGGTGAGAATTGAACCTTAAAATAAAGTGTGACCAAGATTTTTAATCAGTCTCTTCTGCACAGCAAAGCTGCATTTATATGATATAAAATACAGTAATAACTGTAAACTTGTTATAAATTGTTACATATATTATTACAAATTAAAAATGTGTGAACTGTTTTTTATTTGATATATTTTAAAATGTAATTTTTGTGGAAACTATCATACATTTTTTCAAGATTATTTTTGTTACTGTCACGTTTGACCAATTTAATATATCCTTACTAAATAAAATTGCTAATTCATTTCAAGAAAAAAAAACTTTTGAAGTTAGAAAAGCATGCAAAATAGAAGCATGTTTACTACTGGTCTCAGACTTTAGGACCCCATGTGCACTGTTCAGTGCTTTGTTCACTTACATAACACATCTATACTAATTTCTATAAGCTTAACCAGCCTAATTACTAGTAATTGTGATGTATACATGTCTGATTTTGAAGCCTGTCTTTCAATGAACGAAGCACTCAGTGAAATTGGATGTTATTGTTTGTATGTGTGTGTGTGTGTGTGTGTGTAGGGCATTTTACACATAATTGAATGCAGCTCAGCTCTGGCGTTTCACACTTCAAAGAGCTTCCAGTTTGGCTGTCACAGACTGGACAGCTGGCAGATGAAACGTATTTTGGAGCACTCACACACAACGTTAAACACACACACAAGGACATATTTGGTGCTTCTGAGGAAATCTCTGAACAGTCAGACAAAGGCAGTTGAGTCAAAACAACGAAGGAGGTACACACAAGTTCAGTCCACAAAACACCTCACTACATTCACGTATGATACATGACCCTCATTTTGAGCCCTCACTCAACTGTGCAATAAGAGTCTTAGTCTTTTTGTTTCATCTGGACACATTCTTTTTGCACTCTGTTGCCTTTTATAATATTTCAATTTGGTATTTAGATGTTATACTAAACATCAGCTCTCTTGGAACATCACTCGGCCAGTCAAATTAGAGGACCGGAACTAACTGTTAAATAAACAAATTTTTGTCCAATCAGATGCTCTCTATATGAGAATGTTACTCCCCCTAATAGCACATACAGTACATATAGTGACTAAAAGTTACACTCTTAATAATAAAGGTTCTTGGCATCAATGGATCCACAAAAAAACCTTTACCATCCATGGAACCTTTTTATTCCACAAAACAAGGTTCTTTACAGTGGAAAAAGGTTCTTTAGATTATTCAAATGTTCTTCAGCTTAAGAAAAAAAGGTTCTTTTAAGAACTGTTCACTGAACGGTTCTTTGGGAAACCAAATCTGGTTCTTCTATGGCATCGCTGTGAAAACCCCCTTTTGGAACCTTTATTTTTAAGAGAGTAGTGTATTGACTATTTAAGTATGAAATGTCTTGCTCCAACTTGTTTCAATAGGAAATATGTCAGTAAAGGTAAGAACATTGCATTGGTTAAATCATTTATTGGGTTATAGGTTTAGTCATTCACACACACATACACACAGACACACTGCTTAGTAGTATTAGGAATGAATCAATCACGTAGTTGATAGTCACACTTGAGCAACAAATTGTACTCAGAAATAACCGTCAGCATGAATCTATTGTGTTGTAACATACAAGGCATGAAACCATACCACATTTACCGTGAAATGATAAAACAAGCCATTATGCACTTGTGTCTCGCTTGAAGTGGCACTTCAGCTGATGTGCTAACCCAAGCTAAGTGATGTACACAGGACAGTTTAATTATATCTCTGACTTGTGCTGTGATAAAACCTTTAGCCTCCATGGTGTGGAATTGTTAGAATGAGAAAAGCCCACCACATTGGACTGACAAAGTTGGAAATTTCTAATAGAAATCATTGTTACACTGCTTTACACAATAACACACGGATGCATATGGGCACTAGACTTGTGCCGGTATTCGGTAATGCGATATATCACGGTAATGAATATGCACGGTATTGTTATCGTGAACTCTTCTAAATACCGTGAATAATTATATATTACAAGTTATTCAGAATTTTGAATGCATTTTAAGAATACTTTTCCCATCAACTGGTCAAAATGCACAACACCGCTGTATGCTGCGTGAAAGACGCATGCGCACTCTGATGTAAACAAACGCGGATGAGAAGCACATGGCGGAACATGTGAGAGAGGCTCTGGATGAAAGCGCACTTTCACTCTCTGACAGCAGATGGCGCTAAACTGCAGAAATAATAATAATAATAATAGTAATAATAATAATAATTCATTTAAATGAAACCCTGTAAACAAAGCAGCTGCTCTACTTTCTGTTTCTGAATCATGTTTAAATGATTTAAACAGCCATTCAGATTTGTGTATTTGCTATGATGTTCATCACAGCACCAAATACTTAAATATTTAGACTTAATAGGCTATTTATTTTCAATCTTTTTTTTACATTTTAATCTGGACTATAACATGCCCTAGATATTGTTTTGATTCTTTATTGTTCGGTCACACTTTACGTTAGGGCTTCATTAGTTAACATTAGTTCATTCATTAGTTAACATAAACTGCCAATGAAAAATTCTTCTGAACATTCATTAATCTTAGGTATTCCAATATTTAATAACAGGTTGTTAAAATCGAAAGTTGCAACTGTGTTATTTAATGAGCTAACATGAACTAAGACTTAATAACTAATAATTAATAACTTCTGTAGCAAATTTAGCTATTGCTCATTGTGAATGTTAATGCATTAACTAAGGTTAACTAATGAGGTCTTATTGTAAAGGGATACCTATTGGTCTTTATAGTTCTTTTGCACTTTAATCTGTGTAAAACTTTTAGCTTTATACATTTTTCTGTATTGCTTTATTGCATTTAAATGTTCAGTTATTTTTGTTATAAGAAAAAAGTTATTAAACCTGTTATACTGTATTATGACATCACTTTTTTAAAACAAAATTTGCAATACCGTGATAATACCGTATACCGTGATAAAAGCATTAGCAATTAATCGCAACATGAAAATTTGATACCGGCATATCCCTAATGGGCACACTTACAAAGAGCAAAAGCAGCAACCAGGGTTAAATTTTATTCCCAGAATGCATCATTGTGTGTGGGTGAAGTTATGAGAAGACCTTTATGTTAGAGCTAAATAAAAGACATGATATTTATCTTGTTTTCCATTCATCCTGTCACATTGCTTTCAGCAAGCATTTAAGACTTCATTTAAAAATCATCTTATAGACACATCTAGAAACTCCAGGCGCTGATTAACAGTAGTTTTTTTCAATGAGTAAATCACCATAACAAATTCATAATTGATTTAAACTAATGCAGCCTGGCCTCATTGTTTATAGGCCTACATAGTTATTAATACGTAACATTTACAAGCACAAAACGTACATTTTTGTACGTTTTTATTGGTGCTGAAACGTACAATTTAGATGTATTTCAACGCTTAAAAAGTACAAATCGCTATGTATTTTTAGCTAAAAAAACTTAAAATATTTACGTATCTTTTATATCACTAAGATATTCGTATGAAAGCATTTCTTATCAATAAGCAATTTAGATTTTTAGACCCCTTAACCTACCCCCAAACCTAAACCTACCCATTTTATAGCGAATATAAAAGGATATACAACCGAAATATGCAGGAAAATAACCATTTTAGTAACAATATAGTATTAAA